GCATATATAAAGGTCTTGTTTTGTTATTTGTTCAGCTACTATATGTCTTTTGATTGGAGCATTTAATCCTTTTGTTCTTTGCCCTGTACACCTCTCTTGTCTAGATAGCATTGAGTTTCATCTTGAGCATAAACACCTTTAATTTTTGAAAATTAAATTTATTGGGGTGACATTGGTTAATCAGAGTATATAGGTTTAAAGTGTACATTTCTGTGATACATGATCTGTATATTGCTTTGTGTTTCCACTACCCAGAGTCAAATCATCTTCCGTCACCACATACTTGACCTCTTCACCCTTTACTTTTCCCTAACTCCCTTTCCTCTGGTAATCACCATACTTTTGTCTTTGTTTATAAGTTTTTTGTTTGGTTGGATTTTTTTGTTTGTTGCTTTCAGTTTTTATCCCACATGTAAATGAAGTCATATGGTTCTTAACTTTTTCTGTCTGACTTATTTCACTTAGCATGATATTCTCAAGGTTCATCAATTTTGTGTCAAATGGCAGTATTTCGTCTTTTCTTATGGCTGAGTAGTATTCCACTGTATGTATGTACCACATCTTCTTTATCCAATCATCTATCAAAGTACACTTCATTGTTTCCATGTCTTGGCCACTGTGAACAATGCTGCAATGAAACATAGGAGTGCATGTATCTTTTTCGAATAAATGTTTTCAGATGTTTTGAAAGAGGACTCACTAGATCATATTCTTAATTTTTTGAGGAACTGCCATACTGTTTTTCATATTAGTGCTACCGCTTTACATTCCCATTAGCAACTTTTTTACCACAACTCTCCAGTACTTGTTATTACTTGTCTCGTTGATAATAGCCATTCTAATAGGTAAACACCTTCAATTTTAAGAAGAGCTGTGTGCTCCCTCTGGTTCCACAGACCCTGCTGATGCCAGCATAAATGGCCTTGGACCACAGCCTTTCAGACATTTGTTGTGGTAAAAGTCCTGTTCACAGCAGGCCTCCACATGACCCGCGATGGCAGAAAGAGCCCAACACCATTTTATTGTGTAGACTGTCCGTACCCCATTGAATGTTCTTGCCTCCTTTGTCATATATTAATTGACCATATGCGTGTGGGATTATTTCTGGGCTCTCTGTTCTGTTTCATTGATCTATGTGCCTGTTTTTATGCCAGTACCATGCTGTTTTGATTACTATAGCTTTGTATTACAGTTTGATATCAGGTAGCATGATATTTACAACTTTGTTATTTTTTTTCAAGGTTGTGTGACTATTTTGTGTCCTTTATGGTTGCATACACATTTTTGGATTATTTGTTCTAGTTCTGCCTCCACTGAAATCTTGAACCCCTCAAAGTTACTCATGAGGGTTATAATCAACCTCTTTCAGTTCTTATTAATGTTGATATTTGACCTCTTCCCATGAATTTTCTTAATGGCATCTAGAATGGTGAATCCTTTTTCAGAAGGTTTTCAATTTACTTTGCCTGAATCCATCTGAGGATTCGCTATCTATAGCAGCTATATAGCCTTAGAATAATAACAGTTGAAAGCCAGAATGACTTCTTGGTCCATGGGCTGCAGAATGGATGTTGTGTTAGCAGGCATGAAAGCAACATTAATCTCATTGTACATCTCCCTCAGAGCTCTTGGGTGACCAGTTGCATGCCAGTGAGCAGTGATGTTTTGAAAGGAATGTTTTTTTAGCTGAGCAATAGGTCTGTCATCCAGGCTTTCTTGTTCCAACTATGGAGCACAGGCAAGGTAGATTTAGCACAATTCTTAAAGGCCTTAGGATTTTGGAGAGAGAGGTGGTGGAAACTGAGCATTGACTTCCACTTAAAATCAGCCCTAACAAGAGAGTCGGCCTGTTCTTTGAAGCCAGGAATTGACTTCTCTCTAGCTATGAAGTCCGGAATGGCATCTTCCAATAAAAGGTTGTTTCTTCTACATTGAAAATCTGCTGATTAGTGAAGCCACCTTCATTAATTATCTTAGCTTGATTTTCTGGATAACTTTCTGCAGCTTCTACATTGGCACTTGTTGCTTCACCTTACACTTTGATGTTATGGAGATGGCTTCTTAAATCCTATGAACCAACCTCTGCTAGCTTCAAACTTTCTGCAGCTTCTTCACCTCTCAGCCTTCATTAAATTGAGGAAATAGGGCCTTCCTCTGGATTGGGCTGGCACAAGAGGCCTAGCTCTTGGCCTGTCACAGCTTTTGACATACCTTCCTCACTAAGCATAATATTTTCTAGCTTTTGATTTAAAGTGAGAGACATGGAACTCTTTTCTTCACTTGAACACTTGCAATTATTAATTGAGCTAATTTTGATATTGTTGTATCTCAGGAAATAGGAGGCCCCAGGAGAGGGAGAGAGATGGGGGAACAATCAGAACACATATAACATTTATTGATTAAATTCACCCTCTTATATGGGTATAGTTTGTGGCAGCCTGAAACAAGTACAACAGTAACATCAAAGATCATTTATCAGAGATCACAATAGCAAATATAATAATAATGAAAAAGTTTGAAATATTGTGAATTACGTAAATGTGACACAGAAGCATGAAGCGAGCAAATGCTGTTGGAAAAAATGGCACTGAGACTCTCTCCCTCCCGGGAGCATGCCCATGTCTTTCTTCCCTCTCAGGTGTGCATCTCCCATACTCTTAAGAGTCCCCACGAGACTTGCAACCAGGACAGCAATGTGCAGTGACAGCTTGTCCCAGGCTAACCCCATGATCCTGTCTCCAAGACCCCCTTTTCTCTGACTTCCCCGTGAGCCAAAGCACCCCATGTAGCTCATTTCTTTCCTATAACATCTATATAGAGCCAAATCAGCCCCGCCCAGGCTCGCTTCTGTTGCCTCTTCTAACCTAAGCCCTTCCTTTTCCACACTGTCCCAGCTTTAATAAACATCCTCTCAAATTAAAAAAAATGGCACGGATAGACTTAATCAAATGTAATGTTGCCACAAACCTTCAGTTTGTAAAAAAAAACAACAACTCAGTATCTGTGCAGCACAATAAATTATGTTATGCCTGTATTTACAATACAACCAACAAAAGACTCTTATCTAAAATATGTTGAGAGCAAAACAAACTTGTAAATCAATAATTAAAAGGTGGCCCCATGGAAAAGTAGGCAAAGTATTTAGGATTTAACTAAATATGAAATCCAAATGATCAAAGGTATTTAATATAATTAATCAGAGAACTAAATACTTATTCTAGTTTTGTTAAGCATAATGGAAAATTAATAGGAACCTAAATGCCAATAATAGCTACTCAACTAATTAACATTTCATCAGGTGATAGGAATGCCATTTGGTCTTCACAAATATTTTTAGAGCTATGTTAATAGACTTACAGTATATTACAAAGTTTACAGAACATTATCAGTCCCACTTTGATTAAAAAATATATATAAATATATATTTGTAAACATAAATTGCATGAAGGTTGGAAATATTTTTAAAAGTACCTGTGTATGGATGATGGTACTTGGAGTAATTTTAATGACATGTCTTTTTTACTTATTTGTATTATTTTATTTTATCAGAGAACATTTGTTTGGAAAATCACAGATAGGAGAAGTAATTCGTAGAATAAATGGGCGTAGGAAACAAGTTATAGAGGTCAAGGAAGGGCCCTTGGAGCTTAGAAATGAGGAAGGTAAAGGTGACGCTCCTGAGGGGATAGGGACAGGTGCCAGCAAGCTCCTGGGAGGGAGAACGCCAATATTTGTATTTTTTAATGTTTCTAGATTAGGCATGTACTGTGTAATTTATGTATTTGATAACAATGTATCAGATGTAAGGCATTTTATGCATTATGGGAATCAGCTTCCTATTTTTTTATTAAATTCTGATGAAATGAACTACCTTCTAGTATTAGAAAAATGTGTTCATGCACATAGGCCCATGATTGTGTAGTATGTGCAGTAACAACACAGAATGTAGACTAGTATCAGTATTGCAAAGATATAGATCAGGACTGAGTGTCATCCTTCCATTTTCTTTTCACTTAAAACGGTCCTTTAATTATTTTCTTTTCCATTATTGCAGTTACTACCTAATCTTGTCTCCCCCTTTTAATATTATCTTCTGCCTCCTTTTTCTATTCTTTTTGGATGCTTAAATGTCCTTTATTTACTTTTTTTTTTTTTACAATTTTAAATTTAGTCTAGAGAGAGTCTAAAGCTTTTCAAAGGAAGACTATATTATAAGTTTAATTAAATATAAGAATGGAATTCACTTTGATAGTTTCAGGATCTTAAATTTTCTTTAAGATTTTATTTTCTTAATTTCTGCATTTTTCTCAGGATAAAAAAAAGAACATTTTCTAAAGTATCTTTTCTGAAAAAGTAAATATTTGAAAAGTGATTCAGGACATATGGGTTTTATTTTTTTATATATATAAAATGGCAAATTTTTAAAAATTGATTTTAGAGAGGAAGTGTGAGGGAGAGATAGAAACATCACTGATGAGAGAGAATCATTGATCAGCTGTCTTCTGCACACCCCCTACTGGGGATCAAGCTTGGAACCCCAGGCATGTGTCTAACAGGGAATGAAACTGTGACCTGGTTTATAGTCTATGCTCAGCCACGGAGCCACACAAGCCTTGCTGGGCATATGGGTTTTAACAGCAAAGGATTTGTTTTCTGGTGTTTTTTTTTTCTAATTTATATCAAGAGTGGTTGTGTTTTTATTTTGTTTTTGTATTTTTACTTTGAGTGGGATGTTATCTGACAAATTCAAAAATGTATGTGCTGCATTTGTTATGCCAGGACTTCAACAACCTTAGAGATAAATTTAGGGTTCATTGCTTATCCATATATTCTTGTCTGCTTCAACTTAGAATTGTTTTTAGGTAATTATCCTTTTAATTATTTTTGGAACTGGTGCCAAAAGTGTAAGTAAATATGCATAGATGTATGTAAATATATATACATATGCACACATAAGTGCATTCACACTGTGTAAATTTGATGTATTAAATTTCTTTTAGCCAACAAATGGAATCTTCTTGAGCATGTTTCTAATTGTTTTGCCATTGGAATCCATGGCTCATGGGCTCTTCCATGAATTGGGTAATTGTTTAGGAGGAACATCTGTTGGATATGCTATTGTGATTCCTACCAACTTCTGCAGGTATAGTAATCTAGAATGTAGTAATTAGTAATAACTACTTGACTCTTAATATTTTCTTAATATTTGTATGACGATAAATATAAAATATAGCACATTTTTTAAAAACTATAGTATTTTAAAAATATACTACTGTTACATTTTTTATTTATCCCAAATGTTTAAAAGCCTTTACTCTCAGTAAAATTATAATTTTCATGGTTCAATTTATTTTATTTCTTTATAAAAGTGATTAGGTCAGTGGTTCTCAACCTTCCTAATGCCGCGACCTTTTAAGACAGTTTCTCATGTTGTGGTGACCCCCAACTATAAAATTATTTTCGTAGCTACTTCATAACTGTAATTTTGCTACTGTTATGAATCTTAATATAATTATATATGTGTTTTCCGATGGTCTTTGCGACCCCTGTGAAAGGGTCGTTCGACCCCCAAAGGGGTCGCGACCCACCGGTTGAGAACCGCTGGACTAGGTTATATTTTAGCTAGAAATCGGGAAGTATGAATGAATTTTCTAAGGAATCATAATATTTTCTTTAAGAAAATGTCCTGTGAAACAGCATGGTAAAATATAATGGAATGTACACTAGACCTGAGAGTCCTAAATCCTAGTTCTGTATTTCCTTAGGGAAATCATAACTTCTCTGAACTTCATTGTCTTTATCTAAATGCAGATGACAATACCTATTCTGCCCATCTCAGAGGAATATTATGAAGAGCTAGTGAGAATATGAATATAAAAATGTTCTGCCCACTGGAGAATGTCATACAAATACGAGGAATTCAAAAGATTGTCAATGTGTGTGCGTGTGTGTATGTATGTGTATATAAATGTGTGTATATGTATACATGCAAATATATTTTTGTATGTATATAAATATGTGTAAGTTAATATAGTTTTATTTCAAAATTTTTTATCCCAAATATATGGTAGATCTGTCTGAATCTACAAATATTGCCACATTTTAATTTTTATTTAATTAAGTACCTTTGAAATAGAAAAAATGAGTTCTTTGCCATTAATTAATTCTGATGAACAAGAATTCATCATACTTTTCCTTGGGATGAAAAATTTATCTAATTTCAAATATTTGACATAAAAACCCCAAATAGACTATTTGTATTATATATTTTCCTCCATGTTAAAGGTATTTATATATATATATATATATTGATTTTTTACAGAGAGGAAGGGAGAGGGATAGAGAGTTAGAAATATCGATGAGAGAGAAACATCGATCAGCGATCAGCTGCCTCCTATACAACCCCTATTGGGGATGTGCCTGCAACCAAGGTACATGCCCTTGACCGGAATCGAACCAGTCCCCAGGCCGACGCTCTATCCACTGAGCCAAACCGGTTAGGGCACATGGTTAGATTTTTATTCCATTATAATTTTTGTTTATACATTTCTTCTTTTACTTTTTTATGATCATTAAATCGTTACCTAAATAAGTATGGAACAAAATGTTTTATTCTTGTAATGAAAACTAAAGTATTTGAAAGCTATTGATAATACATGAAGCAAAATGTAAAGTTTTCAAAATTCCTGGTTGAAATTCCTTTCCTAGATAGGATTAATGATTTCCCCTCTCTCAATATTGATAGTATTTTGATTCTGCTAGTTGTAGGATTTGGTTTATCATCTTTACTAGAGTGTCATTTTACAGTTGTTCCAGGAACAGATCTAGGTCTTCAATTAGTATTTAGTAGGATATGGCAGTTTGACTAAATTTTAATGATTATTTTTAAATGCCATTTACTAATAGGCAATTTCTTCTATAATTTATTACCTTAGGTTAGTAAAACTTGAACACCACTTTATAAACTCCTTTTCAATATAGGAATTAAATAAATATATAATTAAAAATATTGCTTTCATACTTTATTTTTTTTCTCAAGAAAGAAAAGTTTTTATTATAGTCCCCACCCATGTTCTTGAAATACATTGGGGGTAAAGTTAGTATAATTTTGCTTTTAAAATGTCTTGTCCATTACCAATCATTTGGTGAGAAAATATAAATAAGAACAAAGAGTGTAGTGCTGTCTACATGTGGAGGTATATTATTATCCCACCTTTTAGTTTTGTTATTGTTTATTGATAAGAAATAAAATTTTTAGAAACTAGGCTTTGATTTTCAAAGCTTAATGCTTAGCACCAGGAATTTTAGAAAAGGTGATTTTTTTTAAAAAATCCTGCCATTTAGTTATCAGAAACTATCATGCTTCTTAGATAATTACTTATAAGTGAAGGATAAAAATATGATATAGAATGAATGTTTCTTAAACACTGAAATAATCTTTTTTTTTCCTTCTCAGTCCTGATGGCCAGCCAGCACTTCTTCCACCAGAACATGTACAGGAGTTAAATTTGCGGTCCACTGGCATGCTCAATGCTATCCAAAGATTTTTTGCACATCATATGATTGAGACCTATGGGTGTGACTATTCCACAAGTGGACTGTCTTTTGATACTCTACATTCCAAACTGAAAGCTTTTCTTGAACTTCGGACTGTGGATGGACCTAGACACGATACATATGTTTTGTATTACAGTGGGCACACCCATGGTACAGGAGAGTGGGCTCTTGCAGGTAAAGTCACCTCTGGCACTTTCACTGTTAGGAAAATGCACCTGGTGTAGAAATTTGTCCTTCATAGGGAAACGTTAGATTTTCAGAATTCTCTGTTTTCTGCTTTACAGCTTACCAAGTGTATATATAACTTTTTTCTTTTTTCTAGCATACCTATATAGCATAATTTTATTTTATATTTTTTTATTGATTTTTTACAGAGAGGAAGGGAGAGGGACAGAGAGTTAAAAACATCGATGAGAGAGAAACATCGATCAGCTGCCTCCTGCACACTCCCTACTGGGGATGTGCCCGCAACCAAGGTACATGCCCTTGACCGGAATCGAACCTGGGACCCTTGAGTCCGAAGGCTGATGCTCTATCCACTGAGCCAAACCGGCTAGGGCTATAGCATAATTTTAGTAATCTCCAAAGGTTTTGAGAATTATGTCTTACTCTTATTGGAAGAAAAAAATCTGTTTGATGTGATACTTATAATCAGTTTCCCTTTAAATTATTTTGAGAATTATTAAATACAGTAACACTTTTCAGAAGCTGATTAAGTTGACTAATACTTTTAAGTCTCTTAATGTTATGGATACTGACTTTCATAGTCTTTCACATGTAGAGTTTTATTTATCCTAGAAAGCTCAACAAAATTTTAAACAGCAGGTGATGTGATATGGTGGGAAAAGCACTTAGGTCAGAAGACCTTGGTTTTGGTCATAATTTGCTGCAATAGTGTTATTTTAGGCAAGTTACTTAACTTATCTTGGCTTCGAGTCTCTCATCTATAAAATGAAAGGGTGATATTAAATTTCCCTGCCAAGTGAGAAATGAGATCTCTCTATATTATTTGTAAATGTGTTTGCTGCTCTCACCAACTAGAATAGATACCCTGTAAGTCAAGGTCTTTGTTTTATGAATTATTTGCTTAACACCTGGAACAAAGCCTGGCACATAGTAGGGACTCCTTAAGTAATTGGTAGATGGATAAAACTGAATGAATCATGGAAAAGTAATTTTCTTACTTTAGATTAGAAATACTTCTTTTAGGTATAATTATATCCTGCTTTTTTTCATAAAATAATTTTCATGTATACCAAGGACCCAAACAAAAAATGAAACAGTTAAACTAAGTAGAAACAGATATTCAGATCAAAGAAAAATAATAAACATAAGTATTATAGAAAGACAGAGGCAGAGCTGCCTATACATGAACTCTAGAAGGAAGGAAACAAACTCCATGTTAAAGTAGAGATGATTTTAAATCACATGGTCTCACTAATTTCATACCAGATTTGTAACCAGGACTTTATCATAAAAATATTTTTGTAGTTTTTGTTTCTGTATATAAATAATTGAACAATCCAAAGTGTGCCTAGGAGTAATGGTAAACTAACATTTATTTATTGGCACATTTGAAGCACAGCTACTATACTTGCTATTTCATACACATTAGAAATAATCTTCACTTGAAATCCTTTGAGGTAAATACTGTTTCACTTAAATTTTTCAAAGGATGAAATGAAAGCTAAAAGTGGTTACATAACTTATCTATTGCTCATACTGTTTTTTTTTTTTTACATTCACAGTGGCAGGTGTATGAAGCCATTTATTTTATTATTTTTTTAATATATATATTTTATTGATTTTTTTACAGAGAGGAAGGGAGAGGGATAGAGAGTTAGAAACATCGATGAGAGAGAAGCATCGATCAGCTGCCTCTTGCACACCTCCTACTGGGGATGTGCCCGCAACCAAGGTACATGCCCTTGGCCGGAATCAAACCTGGGACCCTTTAGTCCGCAGGCTGACGCTCTATCCACTGAGTCAAACCGGTTAGGGCTGCTCATACTATTGATTAGTGAGGAATCATGATTCAAGCCCAGATTTGCCTGACTCCTAGTATATGTTTTTTCCCATCGTACCAAGTTGCCACCAAAGACAAAAAACGTGAAGGTAGAGAAATAACATATTCTGGCTAAGTAGATGTTTTTGTTAGCATGGTTTGCCCATTTCAAAACATTAGAATGTAGAAGGTAGTCAACATTAAAACTACTTGAATATAATTTATAAAATTATTTTCCTAACCTTAACTTCTTTTTAAATAAATATTTTTATTGACCTCAAAGAGAAAGGGAGAGGGGAAGAGAGACAGAAACATCAATGATGAGAGAGAATCACTAATTGGCCACCTCCTGAACGCTCCCCACTGGGGATCGAACTTGCTGCCCAGGCATGTCCATTGACCGGAATCAAACCTGGGACCCTTCAGTCCGCAGGCCTACACTCTATCCACTGAGCCAAACCAGCTAGGGCCTGACCTTACCTTTTTAATAACTCAAAATAGAAAACAACTCTTTAACCTTTATGGCCACTTTAATTTCAGGTAAAGAGTAGCATTCTGTGTACTTCAGAGCACAAGAGAAAAAGTTGTAGTCAAAAGATCTTTAAAGAAATAGAATTTCAGACCTAAAAACATTATTTGTTGAAAAATTAATGCAGTGCTTATGATAATAAACTATTTCCAAATTAAATGGGGGGAAAGCCATATTTTGATGGTCATGCATAAATCCTTAGTTATTTTGAAGTTTTATAAGAAAGTAATCTTAAAAGTAAGCTTGCTGTTTAGGTGAAGAATTTATTAATATAAACATTTTTTTTAATCTTAAAGTTTATTTCAAGTATTTTTTAAAAGATTGCTTTGGAAATAAATTTTGGATTTCAGTTTACTAGTACTTAAATCAGCATTTTCTTTTCCTTGGAAAAGCAAATAGACACCAAGATAAATATTGTATGTGTGTGTGTGTGTGTGTGTGCGCGCGCGCATTATCTTGTTAAATTTTTATTCACTATCAGGAATAATTTGAAGAGTTAAAAATGCTAAAATAGGAGTTTATAATAAGTAAATGTCTAGAAGTAGCATTCTGGAATATTATCTTTATATTTTTTTGAAGTATGTCACCAATAAGCTGACAATTGTGGAATGCATCTATTAGCCACGATTTGTTCCAAATAAGAAAAGCAGCCATAGACAGAATGTGTAACTCTCTATGTCAGAGACTTTATTATAAAAAGTAAAAAAACAAAACAAAAAACAATGGAGAGACATAGCAGTCCTCCTCATAATTCAGCAACTGTGTACTCGCAAGGCCTGAGGCATCTGGCCCCCTTGCTGGTAACCAGGCCCAGAGGCTGAGGCCTCTTTTCAGTCGGTTCCTGCCCCAGCCTGCCCCAGACAGCCCTCAAAGGCTGATTCTGCCTCAGAGATAGTATTGAAAACTGCTCTGAAGAAGATGCTATAATCCAATCTAAACCAGTGACAACGAGCTCCAAGCTCTGAGAACTTGGTAATTGTTACTGTCTAAAAATCTTTAAAATAGAAACATCATAACGTTACTTGAGTTAACAAGTTAAGAACAGGTCCAGAACTAAATATCACTGTGAGAAAGAGAATCTGTATTTGCCCTTTATCCCATGCCTTTACTCGCAGTATTTCTTAGAATATGTAGTCCTCTTACATGTATGGGGTTTCCTAATACGGAACCTGGTATTTTTGCTTTGTGGCTTGAGGGTACACAACAATGATGGCTGTGATGAGAGACAGAAATACTGGGTTTGGCAAAAGTAGGTTTGCAGTTGTAAGTACTCGAAACACAGAGTTTATTCTTGTATTATTATTATCATATTATTTCCCATAGGAACAACTGTAACCTACTTTTACCTACTTTGTAAATGAAAAATATGTAGATAATCTGTAAAGTAGTTTGTCACAGACAAACAAAGCCTTTATAATGCACTCTCAATTACTTGAACTGCATGAGATATCTGTTATCTAAGATAAATGTTAAGTACTTTGTATCTGGGCCAAAAGCCAAATGAATTTTCTCCAATTCATAGGAGAAAGCAGAGCAAACCAAAACAGAAGAGACAGACATCATTTAAAAGATTTTAATGCTGCGTTAGGTCTCTTGTTGATATTTAAAGAGCATATATATAAGAGACTTAGTGTAGAATGTGCTGAAGAATAGTTATTGAAATAGTTGTAAAAGGCAAATTAGTGATGTTTTGTGGCAGATGGAATTTGTCTAATAGCTCCTGAAATCTATGTTATCCTCTGGTCTCTAGAGAAATGTAATAGAATTGGCAGTAATGAAAAGTTAGCATTTCACCATTTTAAAAATATATATCTTCAGGAAGTATGTATGCCCTATGGATGTGTTGTTCAGTGGTTAGAGCACCGGCCCACACACACCAAAGGGTCTCGGGTTTGATTTCCCGTCAAGGGCACATATTTGGGCTGTCGATTCATATCCCACCCCCTATCACGGTGCATGCAGGAGGCAACCAGTTGGTGTATCTCTCACATTGATGTTTCTCTCTCTCTCTCCTTCCCTTCCTTTCACTCTTTCTGAAAAAGCAATGGAAAAAATATCCTCAGGTGAGAATTTACAACTAAAAGTGTATTGTAGCATGTTAAAACATTTTTCTAATTATAAAAGTAACATACACAATGTAAAAAATAATTGGAAAATATAAAAAAATATAGCAAAACCACCTGAAATCCAAACACCCAGCAATAACCTCTGCTGTTACTTTTATAGATACACTTCTGTGTCATACTTTTTATCCTAATTGCACAGATAATTTTCTCGTTATTAAAATTTCTTAGTAAATACCATTTTACTATAAAGTTCCCTTTCCCTCATTAGGTTTTACCATAATTTATTTCCATTCCCCTGGTTGTTTCATATTTTACACTATTTTAGATAGCAAAGGGAAGGAAATCATTATATATAATTTTTTGCCCAATATCTACTCTTTCCTTAGGATAAATATCTAGAATTAGATGATTGTATCAGTGTACAGTTGAGACAGAGCCAGGACTAGGGAGAGGTAAAGATGGCAATTGTCTTGGCCATGAAATTTAAGAGGGTGCCAAAAACCAAATAATCAAAATAATATTTTAATGTAACATTTAAAAATCAAAGTTAATGCAAAAGAAACTATCCACAATGAACCAGATGGAAAGCCTACTAACTATAAGATAGGTTTGTAGGTCAAATTTATTTACTTTAGAGCTTTCTGAGTAAACTATTTTTAATCATTTATTGTTTTTCATGTATAAAACTGATTTAAAAATAAATTCATTCTAAATTCATTCTTGGTACAGGGAGAAAGAGTTTCTCCTTCCTCTAGTAGGTACCTGCGTACGAGGATAGGTAACATTATTTTATCAGTGGTGCACAACAGGATTAGCAAATTTTTTGTGTAAAGGGCCACATATTTTTGGCTTTGTGGGCCATAAGATCTGTGTTGTTGGAACCACTCAGCTCTGCTGCTGTAGTTGAAAATATCCTCAAATGAAGATTAAAAAGGAAAAAAAAAAGCAGCCATAGACAGAATGCAAATGAGTTTATTTACGGAAACAATTATATGAAATGTAAATTTCATATAATTTTCCCATGTCACAGAATACTGTTTTGTTTGTTTTTTATTTTTTTCAACCATGTAAAATCAATCCTCAGCTCTCAGCTATACCAAGACAGGTAATGGGCAAGATTTGGACCACGAGCCATATTTGCTGTTTTTGATGTAGAAGAATATAAGCTTTCCTTTAATTTTTTCAACAAATTTAACTTTATAAAATAATTTTTTAAAGTAAGATTGCATTTATTCTCACCCGAGGATATATTTTTCCATTGATTTTTTTTTTTTTTTTAGAGATAATAGAGGGGAGGAAGGAGGGGAACAGAGAGAGAGAGAAACATGGATGTGAGAGAGAGACATCGATTGATTGCCTTCCGTCGGGTCCCAACTGGGGCCGGGTATCGAGCCTGCAACTGAGGTATGTTGACTGGGAATCAAACCTGAGACCCTTGAGTCTGCAGGCCGATGCTCAAACTGGCCAGATAAATAATTTTTTAAATTTATTATAGTATATCCCATTTAAACAAATTTTTAATTGAATATATTGGGTTGACATTGGTTAATAAAATTAACATATCCCATTTTTTATGTGAGTAACAAGGATGATTTTTTTTTTTCGTTTTTGTAACCTGAAGTTGAAAGTTTTTTTAAAAAAATCTTCTGAGGAAAGACTTTGAAAGGAAGTCTCTGTTTTTCTACTCACATATTTAATTTCCAAAATTTAAAGAAAATACACTTAGGACAGAAGGGTATTCTTATTGAGAGTATTCAGAAATTACTTACTGAATTTTCTTTTGATTATAGGTGGAGACATACTACGCCTGGACACACTTTTAGAATGGTGGAGAGAAAAGAATGGTTCCTTCTGTTCTCGACTTATTATTATATTAGACAGTGAGAATTCAACCCCTTGGGTGAAAGAAGTAAGAAAAATAAGTGACCAGTATATTGCAGTGCAAGGAGCAGAGTTGATGAAGACAATAGATATTGAAGAAGCCGACCCACCACAGCTGGGTGACTTTACAAAAGACTGGGTAGAATATAACTGCAACTCCAATAATAGCATCTGCTGGACTGAAAAGGGACGCAAAGTGAAAGCAGTGTACGGTGTGTCGAAGCAGTGGAGCGACTACACTCTGCATTTGCCAACGGGAAGTGACGTGGCCAAGCACTGGATGTTGCACTTTCCTCGTATTACATACCCACTAGTACACTTGGCAAATTGGTTGTGTGGTCTGAACCTTTTATGGATCTGCCAAAGTTGTTTTAGGTGCTTGAAAAGATTAAAAATGAGTTGGTTTCTTCCTACTGTGCTGGACACAGGACAGGGCTTTAAACTTGTCAAATCTTAGTTTGAAAACCAAAGGAGAATATTATTATAAGAGTTCATACTACAAGTTATCACTAGTTTGCCAGTTTTTGTACATTATATTCTTATTTGTGAAAAATATCCTGTTACGTCTGTAGCTGCTCTCACTTTGTCTTTTTTCAAGTAATTATGGTATGTAAGTAGTTGGGAATAAACATTCTTTTATACTAAAAGTATGTAGAGATTCAGAAAATTCTGACTGTAAATGCATGAGATGTAAAAATAACAGTGCACTTTGAGATGTTTGCATTAGAAAGAAAACACTTGTCTATGCTCTGCAGTGAAGAATTAATGAAGAATTAATTACTCATGCCTTATTTTCTAGGCATAGACCAGGATGTTTACTATTATAAGGAAACAGAATTTGCATACAAAAGATTTTTTTTTGTGAACAGTAGGTTTGTGTCCAAGACCATTTGAAAAATTAAAAACTCTTTCTTAGGAAAGAAAAAAGAAGTCTACCTGAAATGCATGCAAAATTTGCTTTTGTCCATTACATTCAGATGCCTTGGTTGTGATCTAGCACAAATTACTGTTTAGATTAAAAAAAAAAATTTATGTAGGTAACTAAGAGGCTAGAGCCTAAAAGTTGCTCCTTTGTGAATTGTTGGGGGCCTATGAAAGTACTGGCAATTTTAAGAGTCTTTTCAGGGTAACCATGCTTTTTAATGAACAACGTTTTCAGCTATAAATTTCTTCCAGATAAGTTGTCTTCCTTTTCAAAAAGTAATCTTATAAATTTAGCAGTTTCTTATTGATTTAGACTATTTGCAATTTTCTAGAAATTATTTCAATCTCTATAAAGTTCCACTATGAAAATTATTTTTCAAATTTCCATTAGTGATAACATTTTTTTTTTACTGAAAGTGAAAGGATTGGAAACATTTTTTCTTGTAAGATATTATGTAAAAATATATTTATATTAACAATTTTACTTAAGCATAATGGTGAGGTTGTAATCTTTAAAACTTTTTTCAGTGTTTTGTCTCATTAAAGCAAGCACTGGTCAGGATATCTTCCAAGAGGTCATTTATCTTCTATTTCCTTCTAGTAATCCTTACATTCTAAAGTTTTATCTCTGGGAAATAACCAAAAGGGAATATAGTTAAGTTGGGGTATAATCTAATCTTTGATGTTTAAATGGTGTCATTTCTCACCATCAAAGCCATTTTTCCAACCTCAGCGAGACGGAATAATGCCCCTACCATTTTTTATCTGGTGACTTGCCAACTGTAGTTTTAGTTAGGAGGAAGTCACCAAGCATCAGGGAACTTGTATACCACTATCTATGCAGCATTGTTGTTATGGTCTAATTTGTGCTTTGAATATGATTTTCAAAATACTTTGAATAAAATTTTGTTAAAAATTTTTTATGTAATGAGCAAATAACAGTTATTGAATGTTTTAGTATATTGCAAGTGATAGTCAAAAAATGCCTATGCTTTTTGGGGGTTCATGGTTGGTAGCAGGTGGATTTGAAAATTTCTCGGTTAAGTGTGCATATCAATATCATCCAAATGGAATAGTATCGTGTTTTATTATTATTTAGAAATAGAATAACAGAAAAGCCAGATGTTAAAATGATGAGTTTATAGCTACAAAAAAAAGTTAAATTAATGTTAAGGAAAATCCCTTTGAAATTTCTGAGACAATATTGAGCAAATTAAAGCTTTAAAGCATATCTCTCTTTATTCTGAGAGAGTCAAATTTAAAGGTATAGTCTACATTCTTTATAAATATTAAGATAGTACTAAAAATCATATTCAAAAGGTAGAAGGCACTTTCACACTCACAAAACTAATGTTTGACATTTTCTATGAAAGTACAACCAAAAAAGTTTTGGCCTAAAAATATGACTTGAGCCAATTTTTTAACTAAAGAGTTATGGAGTATCCACTTTGATGGGTTCTCCTACCCAAACAAACAAAAAAACATAAATGTCTTATAGGAGATGGTATCTATACTAATAAAAGGGCAATATGCTAATTAGACTGGATAGATGGGACATCTTCCGGATGTCCTTCTGGACAAAGCTGCAGCAGCTGCGAGGGCTGAGGGCTGGCGGCGTGGGAGAGGTGGTGGCGCAGGCTGGTCCAGCGCTGTGGCCCCTCTCACAGAGGTGGCACCTGCCGGTCCAGCCCCGCAGCCCCTTTTGCAGAGGTGGCGCAGGAGAGGCCTCGGCACGGGCCAGTCCAGCACCAGGCCCCTTTCGCAGAGGGGGCTGCACGGGCCTTGTCCCAGTGCTGCCCCTTCCACAGAGGCTGCACCCATAGCAGGGGTGCAACCTGCTATGCCTCAACCTCCCACAGCCCTGGCCCCAGATCGCCCCCCACCCGGCAGGCTTTGAGGGCCAAGGGCCAGCAGCCGTGGTGGCCGGTAGTGGCAGCCTTCCTCTGCTGGGCCCAGTCGCCTCCCGCAGAGGTAGGCCAGAGGCGGCAGCAGCAGCAGCAGGGTGATGGGAGCGGCGCAGCGCCTTCCCCTGATGGGCCCAGTCGCCTCCCGCAGAGGGAAGCCAGAGGCAGCAGCAGCGGCAGGGTGATGGGGCGGCACCTTCCCCTGATCGGCCCTGTTGCCTTCCACAGAGGGAGGCCAGACTGCGGCTTAGGCCTGCTCCCCATGGGAGCATCAGTAGGACATTCAGCCATCAGTAGGACATACCGTGAGGGCTCTCAGACTGTGAGGGGGCAGGCCGGCCTGAGGGACCACCCCCCTACCCCAGAGCACGAATTTTTGTGCACCGGGCCTCTAGTTCTAAAATAAAGTGTCCAGTTTTAAAACAGTAAAGTGATAATAAAGAAATTCAATATTGTGGGAAGGATAAGTTGATTGGTTACTTTTACCTAAAGATTGAAAAATAGATCTGATTAATTTTAGCCTGGCTGGTGTGGCTTAGTGATTGAGCATTGACCTATGAACCAAGAGGTCAAGGTTCCATTCCTAGTCAGGGCACATGCCTGAGTTGTGGGCTAGGTCCCCAGCAGAGGGCATGGAGGCAGCCGATCAATGGTTCTCTCTCATCATTGTAGTCTCTCCTTTCCTCTTCCTCTCTGAAATAAAAAAATATATTTTTAAAAAGAATTAGTACTGCAGCTTTTATTTCCTTTATATTTTCATGAAATATCTTTTCCATCCCTTTACCTTTAGTCTGTGTATCTCATTCTGAGGTGAGTCTCTTAAAGACAGTATATACATGGGTTTTGTTTTCTTATCCATTCAGCTGCCTTATGTCTTTTTATTGGAGCCTTTAAGCCATTTACATTTAAAATGAGTATTGTATTTATTGCCATTTTATTTTTTAAACTTTCTTCTCTTTCTCCGCCTTATCTTCCTCCTCCTTTTTTTTCTTCTTCCTCTTTCTTCCATTTCTTCAATTTTAAATGATACTTTTGCTGGGTAAAGTAGCCTTGGTTTTAGGCTCTTGCTATTCATCACTTCGAATATTTTATGCCAATCCCTTCTAGCCTGAAACATTTCTATTGAAAAATCAGCTGACAGTGTTACGGGAGTTACCTTGTAGGTAACTGACTTCCTTTCTCTTTCAGCTTTTAAATTTTCTTCTTGTCTTTTACTTTTGGCCTTTAATTATGATGTATCTTGGTGTGGGCATCTTCGGGTCCATCTTGCTTGGGACTCTGCATTTCCTGGACTTGTATATCTCTTTTTTCACCAGGTTATGAAAGTTTTCATTATTCTAATAGGTTCTTCATCCCTTGCTGCTGCTTCTGATACACCTATGACATGGATGTTATTCGTTTCATGTTGTCCCAAAGGTCTTTAAAATAACCTCATTCTTTTTAATTCTTTTTTATTTTTGCTGCTCTGATTAGGTACTTTTTGTTCTACCTTGTCTTCCAAATTGCTGAATTCATCCTCTGCTTCATCGAGCCTACAGTTTATTCCTTCCAGTGTATTCTTTATTTCAGATACTGCATTCTTCATTTCTCACTGGTCCATTTTTGGGGTTTCTATGTCCTTTTTCATACTTTTGAGCATCCTCATAATCATTCTGAAGTCTATATCTCATAAGTACCTTACCTTTTTTTTTTTATTAAATTTTTATTGTTCAGATTACATTTGTTCCTCTTCCCCCCCCCCCATAACTCCCCTCCTCCCAGTTCCCGCCCCACCCTCCGCCCTCACTCCCCACCCACTGTCCTCATCCATAGGTGCACGATTTTTGTCCAGTCTCTTCCCGAATCTCCCATTCCCCTTTCCCCCCCCAAGAATAGTCAGTCCATTCCCTTTCTATGTCCCTGATTCATTATAATCACCAGTTCATTCTGTACATCAGATTATTTATTCACTTGATTCTTAGATTCACTTGTTGATAGATGCATGTTTGTTGTTCACAATTTGTATCTTTACCTTTTTCTTCTTCCTCTTCTTAAAGGATACCTTTCAGTATTTCGTATAATACTGGTTTAGTGGTGATGAACTCCTTTAGCTTATCCTTATCTGTGAAGCTCTTTATCTGACCTTCAATTCTGAATGATAGCTTTGCTGGATAAAGTACTCTTGGTTGTAGGTTCTTGGTATTCAGCACTTTGAATATTTCTTGCCATTCCCTTCTGGCCTGCAAAGTTTCTGTTGAGAAATCAGCTGACAGTCGTATGGGTATTCCCTTGTAGGTAATTGAGTCTCTTTCTCTTGCTGCTTTTAAGATTCTCTCTTTGTCTTTTGCTCTTGGCATTTTAATTATGATGTGTCTTGGTGTGGTCCTCTTTGGATTCCTTTTGTTTGGGGTTCTCTGCGCTTCTTGGACCTGTAAGTCCATTTCTTTCACCAGGTGGGGGAAGTTTTCTGCCATTATTTCTTCAAATAGGTTTTCAATATCTTACTGTCTCTCATCTTCTGGCACTCCTATAATTCTGATATTAGTCTGCTTGAAGCTGTCCCAGAGGCTCCTTACACTATCTTTACACTTTCGGATTCTTTTTTCATTTTGCTTTTCCAGTTGGGTGTTTTTTGCTTCTTCGAATTTCAAATCTTTGGTTTGATTCTTGTGCTCCTCTGGTCTGCTATTGGGTGTAATATTCTTTATTTCCGTCCGTGTATGCTTACTTTCTAATTTCTTTATCGTAGCATCGAGGGTCTCATTAGTTTTCGTGAGGCTCTGCTCAAGTTTATTGCAAGCCCTCAAAATTGCGATTCTTAGCTCCATATCCTCCATTTCTGTCATGTTTTTTTGTCTCCGCATCTTTTATGCTTTCTTGGTGCACCCCCTTGTGGTCTTTGTGCACAGTCTTGTTCTAGTTAAGCCTTAATTGTTGTAGTTAATACTAGAGGGATTTGACCACCAGGCTGACTGGCTGTGAGAATCAGCTGTATGGAAAACTTCTGTCCACTGGAGAGGTGCTACTCTAGCCTTTGCCTGAGGCGATCCTGCAAATGGCTCTGCGCAGGGCTTGGGCGGGGTGGGCTCAACAGGGCGGGCGGAGGGAGCAGTTATGGCCGCTCTCAGTCCGTCCCCAGAGGCTCTGCCTCTCTGTCCCAGCAAACGCTGCAAACCTCGGAGGGACCGTAGCCAGACAGTCCCGCTTCTCCCGTTTGAGTCTGGGTCCCTAGAGACTCGCCCGGATCTGTAGCCCCGAGTCTGAGACTCCCTCCTGATTGAAAACGACAACCGCGCCCTCAGCCACCAGCCCGCTTTGCGCGCGCACCACCATACCTTTAAATTTTCCACACTGCGCCTCCTCTGGGCCTCGTAATGCTGTTGTTTTTCCTTCTAGTTGAAGAGTCTCTCCTCAGCCAGCCTTCCTGGGGTTCTGGGTGATGTCCGTTCCGTCTTTTAGTTGTATTTTTGAAGTGGTTGTTTGCGGCAGCAAACTCCAGTGTTTACCTATGCCGCCATCTTCGATTCCTCCATAAGTACCTTACCTTCATTTCATTTAGCTCTACTGGAGAATTCCATTGTTCGTTAATTTGGGGACTATTTCTTTCATCTCCCATTTTGGCTGCCTCTTTGTTTCTATGAACTAGGTGGATCTGCTATGACTCCCAGTCTTGGTAGAATGGCCTTATGTAATAGGTGACCTACGCAACCCAGTGGCACAATCTCCCTGATCACCTGAGCTGGGTGCTCTAAGAATGTCTTTTTTGTATGTTATGTGGGCCCTCCTATTGTAATTGAGTCTTGATTGCTATTGGCCTGTTTGTGCATTGGATCAACCCTCAGGCTGGCTGACAGAGGGGCTTAGCCCCCAACACAATGTGCAAGCTATTGTGCAGGTGCTGATCACATGAAGCAAATTCACCTGGGCAGGGTTTGATGCCTGCCGAGATCTCCCTGGGATATGCTGCTTTGGTCTGAAGCTTGCCACTGGGTTTGTTGGTTCTGGGCCTCTTTGAAGGGACTCTGGTGCAGGCCAATGTC